GCGATGTTTCTGCGTATCTCAATGGTACAACTTTATTTGGTTTGAGACATAAATAAATGTAACGGCATCCTTGCCCCCTCTTCCTTATTTACTCAGATGACCAACGGTTGAGGCTTATTATCCTCCTTAGGTGGATCAACCGTTGGGAAAAACTTTATGACAAAATGTTTGCTCTTCATCTTATTCCGATTCATGGAAAGCACATCAATTAATCCTTTCTTTTTATTATCTTATTATTATTACAGTGAGAATGAATGCAATTTATGAATGCGATAGACGTTTGAAAAGATGATGAAAACAAACAATTTTATTTATTTCATCCAGACAGTGTACATTCCTCAATGCAATGTTTCGAAGTACATTTTTTTTTTAAAACGGAGAAGCTTAAATGAACCCATAGGTGGGTTAGAATTTCTATTTATTTTCTTTTTGAGGAATGTGCATGGCATGCGAATGCCCTAATCCTCTTTTCATGGTATTGAGGAATGTCCACTTCTTCGACTGTCTATTATTAGATGCATGTGTATGCAAGTGTTTGTTTTTTCCTAAACATTATCATGTTTTATTTTCTAACATGATGTATGATAGTGTTTGGGATTTTGTGTTTTTTTTGTATGCAGATGAGGGCATGAAGAATACCAGTCGCCTTCTAGAATACAAAAGTAATTTAAGAATGTTTTTATTTTGAAATGAAATGAATGATTAGTGTAGGATAGATATGTCTTAAGACAATGACTTTGGTATCGTCCTTAAAGCTTACGCTTCACGAAGCACCATACCAACTTTGGTGGAATGGTTCCTTCCTCATAAAAGTCACCATATACCTTAATACACTTGTCCCTTTCTTGTCGCAAAGGTCACGAATGTGCTCGGGGCCTCTTTCGCCATTGTCTTAGGGATATCTAGTGCTCCCTAAAATGAATGTATTTATGCATGCACCAGTACAAAAGGGCGGTAGATGTTCAAAGTGGCATAACTTTTGACTGAGATGTCCGATTTGGACGCACAACATATCAAAACGAAGAGAAAAGGGTGAAGAACCAAGTTGCAATTACCCGGAGGGGATTTGGCCTAGTATTTTTCCCAATAAACGCTTCAAAGACCCATTTTTTAGGGGTTTATTAAAATGATGCGTATGCATACTTTCCTTACGCACTTATTTTTTCTCTTGGTTTTTCCACTTATGATGCAATATGAATGATACGACTTTGTCAAAATTCTTTTTATAAATGTTTTGTTTTTGTTATTATTATTTTATTTATTTTGGATTTATTTTTTTGGCCTTTTATCTCTTCTGTCGGATTGCGTGACTACTTAGCTTACAAAGAACCTGAAACCAAGCTAGCTAGAAGGCAGACTGTCCGAGATTAGGGTGTTTATTGCGAAAATATTTGTTTGAGATTTTTCTTTCTGTTGTTTGGTTATGCTATCCAATAGACAAATGCAACAAACAGATGCACACACAATTCGATCATCCACGAATAGGCGAGAAGTCATTTTAATCACGAGGTAGGGTTTTCCTGCAGAAAAGTGATTTGGCGAGGGTAGGTTCTAACTGTTCTCACCAAGGCTAAGGCCCCCAAGGTGCCCCCATTATAGGGTCCCCACTCTCCAGCCTTCCGACCATGCTTAGCACTAAGGTCATAGTCAGTCTTTGTGCCAAAAGAGGAAGGTTATCACCTTGAGTGGTGGTTTCCGATCACACCGGTGGGCACAAGGCCATCACTACAACGAACTGTACCTGCCACCCACTCCCTATGGATTTCTCACTTGCCCCCGGGTATAGAGGGAACTGTTGTGTGCAAGGGTTTGTGTACATTTTGTATTTCAAACAATTGTGTAAGTATAAACAAACAACAATTATTAAAGCCAAGCAATAAAACATGTTACAATACAAGGCAGGGTAAAAGCGTAATTTTCTTGGTTTATTTATTTTTAAGCTGGCCCATCACTAAATGGGATCAACTCTCTATGCTTCCCCAGCGGAGTCGCCATCTGTCGCCGCCGTCAAAAATGAGACGCGGTCGGAGCGACGCGATGGTTTCGACCCTCTTGATTTTCGCATTTTTTGTTGGTGGTTACAACGTCTTTAGGTTGTCCGATAACCGGGCTGAACCTAGGGGCGAGGTTTTCGAAAAGGCGCTCTTGGATTGTCCGATAACCGGGCTAATCCAAAAGCTAGTTTTGAAAGGGTTCTTTGGAGTCGCCACCGATGTTTTTACCGGAAACATCGGAAAAGGAGTTAAAAGGCATTGGTTTTTGAAAAACCAACTTTGGTCGTTAGAACCAGAGTTGGGTAAGGGAGTTAGTTACGTGTAAAGGAAGTGTTAGTTCCTTTACGACGCCCCTTTCGGGTTCCCTATGACAGGCCAGCTATTTAAAAATACTTAAACCGGTGAAAATTACGCTTTTACCCTTTTATTCTGCGGAATTTAAAATTACGACTACATGGCCCTAGTATCTATTGCATAATTTAAAATTAAAGCGATAAAAGTAGAGAGGGAGAATATAAACCTCCGAAGCACGCTTTTGTATTAATTCTTTTAAAAAGAGGGTGCTTTGTGGCAGCCATTCACTCTACAGCGCCAGAAAACCTCTCGGACGCTCGAAAAACACTCACAAAAACACTCAGAATCTCCGGAAATGAGTCGGAGGGATTCTAGAGAGAAGATCTAGTGATTTTCTAGAGAGAAGGAGGAGAAAACTCTGTGTGGTGTGTGAAAATGAGGGGAGGGAGCCCCCTATTTATAGTTTTTCGCGCCTGACAGGTCGAGACCGCTGTCTCGTCTGACAGGGTCGAGACCGCCGTCTCATCAAACGAGACCGCCGTGTCGCCATGCCAAAGTGGCGAGACCGCGTCTCACCAAACGAGACCGCCGTCTCGTCCTTCGCAGGTGGTGAGACCCCGTCTCGCCAAACGAGACGGCAGTCTCGCCACTTGCATGAGGCGAGACGGCGGTCTCGATTTTGAGACGACGGTCTCGTCCCGAAAAAGGCGAGAAACCTTATTTTCGTGCCGAAAATCCCTCCTATTCTAGTATGGGGCCTAATAGTCTCTCCTAGTGGCTTGTTAGGCTTCTTCCATCTTCGAATAGGAGGTCTTTTACTCTTTATTTGGAGGCTGGGCAAGATTTGGGGTCTACAGGTAGGCAGGAATCCACTAAGGATTTGTTGATTCTTGATGATGCCTCTGAGTATGCAGATGCTTCATTTGGAGGTGAAGACTTTTGGTTGCATTTCTTTGCCTCGTAGTAGGCTGATGTTCCCTTTGGGATGTTGGCTCTTGCTTGTCAAGTCTTGCCTATGCGCAGGCAAACGACTCTCTGAGGATATGACTCTGAAGATTGCCTTTGCAGTAGGCTCATTGAGGATAAAATCTTCTTTTTTGGTGATCCATCGGGGACTTATTCGTCTCCCTGGGGACATGGTTTTTGATAGCCCTCTAGGGGAATGGAGTCTTGGCTCCTTGATTGATGAGGATGATTGTCACCACTATCATAACGAGGCAGTCGGAGCGACGCGATGGTTTCGACTCTCTTGATTTTCGCGTTTTTTATTGGTAGTTACAACGCCTTTAGGTTGTCCAATAATCGGGCTGAACCTAGGGGCGAGGTTTTCGAAAGGGTGCTCTTGGATTGTCCGATAACCGGACTAATCCAAGAGCTAGTTTTTGAGGGTTCTCTGGAGTCGCCACCGATGTTTTTACCGAAAACATCGGAAAAGGAGTTTAAAAGGCGTTGGTTTTCGAAAAACAACTTTGATCATTAGAACCAGAGTTGGGTAAGGGAGTTAGTTACGCGTAAAGGAAGTGTTAGTTCCTTTACGACGCCCCTTTCGGGTTCCCTATGATAGGCCAGCTATTCTGTTAATAAACCAGAAAAATACGCTTTTGCCCTTTTATTTTGCGGAATTTAAAGATTATGACTACATGACCCTAATGTCTATTGCGTAATTTAAACAATGCGGTAAAAGATAGAGAAAGAAAGTAGGAACCTCCGAAGCTAGCTTTCTATTGATTCTTTAAAACATAGGGTGCTTTGCGGTAGCCCTTCACTCTACACGGCGTCGGAAACCTCTCAAAACGCTCTGAAAAACACTCTAAAGACACTCAGAAGCTCCAGAAATGCGTCAGAGGGATTCTAGAGAGAGAAACTAGTGATGTGACTAGAGAGAGAGTGAGAAAGTTGTGAGAAATGAGGGGAAGGGAGGCCCTATTTATAGGGATTCGCGCCTGTCAGGTCGAGACGGCCGTCTCGTCTGACAAGGTCGAGATGGCCGTCTCGACATTCCAGACGGCCGTCTCGCCTTGCAGGAATGGCGAGACGGCGGTCTCGCCTAGCACAAGTGGCGAGACCGCCGTCTCGTCGCCTTGCAGGAATGGCGAGATGGCGGTCTTGTCAAACGAGACGGCGGTCTCGCCTTTCGCAGGTGGCGAGATGGCGGTCTCGCCAAACGAGACGACGGTCTTGCCACTTGCGCTAGGCGAGACGGCAGTCTCGACCCTAAAAGGCGAAAATCCTTATTTTTGTGCCAAAAAACCCTCCTATCCTAGTATGGGGCCTAATAGTCTCTCCTAGTGGCTTTTTAGGCTTCGTCCATCTTCGAAAAGGAGGTCTTCTGATCTTTATTGTGAGGTCGGGCAAGATTTGGGGTCTACAGCTGCCACCCCTTTACCTGACTAGTCGGTTGTTTGGCCTGTTGTGCCAGACAGATCGACAGGAAGGTAAAGGAGTTGACCCTCTTGCCCGGTTACCCTTCGGATGTTCCATCTTGCGGCGGTTGATCTTCTGGGGAAAACTTTGTATTCGTGCACTTCCGGGATAATCCTTCTGACGGTAGTCGATCCCTTCGGTGGACACGTGGTAGAACCTCAGGATACTCCTTCTAACGGTAGCCGATCCTTCGGTTGATGGGTATAAACCCCCATCAGTCGAGTAGTTGCGATCCGTGTGTGTCGAACTGGATGGGTATGAACCCCCCATCGAGTCGGTAGTTGCGACTTATCGATCCGGCTCGAGCGCAGATCGAGCGCACCGCGTGCGCAGGTTGATAGGTATGAACCCCCTATCAGGCTGGTACAGTCCACTGCGTAGGACTGGTGGTAGTGGCGGCTTACTGTTCAGGTGGCCGATGCGCCGGGTGTTAAAAAGTGCTTTCTTGTCTTTGTTTGTCTTTTCTGGGAATTGTCATCCGGTCTGTGTCGGGGATTCTATTGGTGTTCATCCAGCTTGTTGGTTGCTGGGGATTATTTGATTTTTATCTTTTGGTAGTGGTCATCCGACTTTGCTGGTTGTCGGGAATTTTTTATGAGTGCCTCTTAGGTAGGCAGGAATCCTCTAGGGATTTATTGATCTTGGTGAGGCCTCTTAGGTATGCAGATATCCATTGAAAAATTTGTTGATTTTGATGGTGCCTCTGAGCAGGCAGATACTTCATTGAGTTTCTGGTAATGCCTATGAGTAGGCAGATGCTTCATCGAAAGTGAAGACTTTTGGCTGCATTTGTTTTGCCTCTGACTAGGCTGATATTCCCTTATGGGGATGCTGGCTCTTGCTTGCCAGGTCTTGCCTATGCATGACATTCTGAGCATGAATATGAAGTTTTGCCTTTGCAGTAGGCTCACTGGGATGATCTTTCTTTTTGATTGATCCACCGGGGAATTGGTTGCCTTCCCGGGGGATCTAATTTTGATTTCCCCTTTGAGGGAATGGAGTTTTGACTCCTTGTTGGATGTTGTTGGTATGAGATGGCTTTGCCGATACTCTTTTTTCATTGGGATTTCCGATTCCTTCTTTTTCGTTGATTTTCCCTTTTCTGCGGTGACCCACTTAGGGATTTTATTGATTGTCTAAAAGTTAGGATTGATTTCGCCTTTTTTTTTTGTGATTTATCTCCTTTTTATCGCGATTTTGAAATCTGGCTTTTTTATAATGCGTGCGCCTTTTTACTTTTTAGTTTCTTTTATACACGCAGGCTTTTTCTTCTTTTTGGGGGGTCCACTAGTGATGAAGTTTTCTTTCTTTGGTGATCCATCAGGGAGTTAGTTGACTTCCTGGGGACCTGATTTTTCTTTTCTAGGGATGGAGTCTTGGCTCCTTGATTGATGTTGATGCGAGCTAAACTTGTGAACTCTTATTCCACTGGGGGATGGGAATTTCTGATTCTTTTTTATAGACTTTTAAGAGATCCACTTGAGGATTTTTATTCGACCTTCTTTGTCATGGTCTTTTTGTCATCTGCTTGAGATGAAGGGTTTTCTTTTCTCTCCTTTCTTTTTGTTGAGCCCTTGATGGTTTGGACTCTTTTGACTGTTGATGATGATGGGCTCTTGAAGCCTTTATTCTCCATTGGGGAGTGTGGAGGAGACTCTGGGTGAGTGTGCTCGATTACTCATGTGATGGCGATGCTGAGCCATGGGGTAATTTTTTTTGTGTTGCCTTCGGAGTGGGCAGGGATCCTCTTGGAGATGACTAAGCCTTTTCGTCGGCTTTTCTTTTATGATGTCTGATGATTGTGCCCTCCTTTATTGGGTGATGATTGGAGCTTTGGCTTCTAGAAGCTTCTTATGACAACTCGCTCTTCTTTCTTGAGGGAGATGTTTGAAGACTTTATTACTTTCTTGTGCCTTCTTTTCTGGGTAGAAGGATGGTAGCTGGAGCTCTTGATTTTCAGAAGCTCTTATTCTGCTGAGTTGCTTGTTTGACAACTTGCTCTATTTTCTTGAGGGCATTATTTGGAGACTCGGTCTTGGTGATCCTGTTTTCAATCACAAACATGGAGCTAGTCTCCTTATATGCATGAATGCTTTTTCGTTTTTGTTATTTGTCTGAAGTAATTTTTATTTCTTTCATTTTTGACATTAACAAAGTCGTTTTGTGCGACTACTTGTGTGTGGATGCCCTAAATGCAATCTATTCTTTTTGATTGATGCATCTGGAAAAGTGACTGGCATTCTCCTACTGGACTTTCATGATTATGATGAAGGACCTCTCTCTTTTATTCATTTTTTGGTTTAGCCCTATCTTTTGCCTAGACCGCCCTTTTTTGGGGTTTTCGGTCTAGCGGGCTGCCTTAATTTTTTCCTAGGACATCTTAGCGGGCCTTTTCCTTTTTTATCAATGCCCTAACTTTTGCCTAGACCGCCCTTTGCGGGTTTTCGATCTAGCGAGCTACCCTAACTTTTGCCTAAGAATCTTCTAGCAGGCATTATTTTTTTTTATTGCCATTTTTTCTTTCTCTTCTTTTTGTTTAGAGATAGGAGCCTATCATATGTATGTATGCAATGTTCGTGATATGCATCCTATAATACTATTTCAATTCATTTTTCAAAAGGATTAATCAATGTGCTTTTACTTTTGATGAGCTTCTGACATTATGTGCTTTTTCGACATGATAGGCTGTACCGATTTTGCTGTCTTGATTTTTCCATGACCGAAGAATAATTGTGTTGATTGCAAAGTGACTTGCCATGTCAGTTCACCCCAACCTTTCCTTGGGGATGTCAATCCTCCTATTGATTACTATCTCCAAATTTCCCTACTAATTACTAGAATGCCGTAGTGGTACAGGTCAAGAGAAAAGAAGGAAGAGAATATTTAATTCAAAGGCTTGTGTTTTAGAATTGTTTTATTTTGACAAAAAATGGTTTTTGTAAGCACGGCTAGCCAAGGTTTGTTAGAGTGTTTAGGCTAGTTTAGACAAACGTTTCGTTTATGGAATGTTGTCTTATTGTATGGCGCTTGCTATGACTGATTGACTTCCCTAGTCTACCCTTTGGGTTTTCAGCCTAGGGTGTTGTGCTATGTCTTAATTTTTTGTCTAGGTTTCTTTTTTCTTGCTTTGGAAACCTAGCGGACTTTATTTTGTAACCCTAATTTTTGCCTTGGCTACCCTTTATGGTTGTTCGGGTTTCCTAGCGGGTTTACCCTAACTTTTGCGTAGCCCCCTTGGTGGGTTTCCTACTGGGTATCTTGCCTTTTCTTTTTGGCCTTTGGCTTGTATGAGCTTCTTTTTATTTTATTTTGCTTTGGCGAAACATGACTTTATTATGATGAGGTGGAACCTTGTTTTGTGTTTCTAGTCAATCAGTGATGATGGATTTGACTTTTATTTTGGTCAATGGCGCATTTTGATTACTTTGACTCACTTTTGAAAACGTTTGCTTAAACATGGTTATTAATGAGGTTTAGATATGAATAGTAAGAAGAGAAGCATATAGTAAGAATGACATTCTTTATAATTAATAGGGAAATATGTGCCCTAAAATGCTCGAGGGTCGGGCTAGCCCCGAGGAGTAATCTCTAATAGTCATTGGATTTACAAACCCTAAGAATCAGAAGGAGAACACCTAATGACTAAAGTTGCTTTTGACGCTTGAACCCCTCTATTTGGGAAAATCTGATTCGAGGTGCGGAGGGGAGACTTCCCTTTTCTCCGTGCAGCTTGATCCTTTGAAGGGTAATGCTTTCAAAGGATTGTCTTTAAAATCTGGTGGCTCCCTTATTCCTTGAGAGTTTCTAATGAGCCCTTGGTTTGGGCGATATCCATATTTCCTCATCATGTGGGTCGCCGTCATATTGTTGGGGAAGTCTTGGTAAAAGATATTTCTAAGGTCTTCTTCAGCCGCTTTCATTCAAGGTAGGGCAGACGACTTGCTGATCCGAATGTCGTTTTTAGATCGAACTGTGACCAACTTGTTGCCTACCGTGAGTTTGTCTCTTTGGCGGAGCATTGAGAGAACTGCCTTAGCATCGTGAATCCAAAGTCTACTCAGTTTTGGATTATGTTTTTCTTCAGTCTTATTTTTTCTTTATTCTTAGGAGCATCATCTTATACGTCCTTGGCGAAATAGATTCTTCCACTTCTAATCTTGCCCTCGAATGCCGGCTATGCTGGAGTATCTTCATTGATGGACGATGTTTTTGTGTATCTCCATGGTACAACTTTATTTGACATGGGAGGCATGAACAAACGCGATGACGCCCTTGCCCCCTCTCCTTTATTTACTCAGATGACCAACGATTGAGGCTCATTATCCTCTTTAGGCGGATCAACCGTTGGAGAGAACTTGACGACAAAAGGTTTGCTCTTCATCTTATTCCAATTCATGGAAAGCACATCAATTAATCATTTCTTTTTATTATTATTATTATTATTAAAGTGAGAATGAATGCAATTTATGAATGCAATTTATGAATACAATAGACACTTGAAGAGATGATGAAAACAAACAATTTTATTTGTTTCATCCAGACAGTGTACATTCATCAATGCAATGTTTCGAAGTATATTTTTTTTTTAAAGTGGAGAAGCCTTAATGAATCCATAGGCAGGTTAGAATTTGTATGTATTTCCTTTTTTACTTCCGTGTGCATGGCATGCGAATGCCCTAATCCTCTTTTCATGGTATTGAGGAATGTCCACTTCTTTGATGGTCTATTATTAGATGCATGTTATGAGGATGAAGTTTGGTGGATGCATATATGCAAGTGTTTGTTTTTTCCTAAACATTATCATGTTTTATTTTCTAACATGATGTATGATAGTGTTTAGGATTTTGTGTTTTTTTTGTATGCGGATGAGGGCATAAAGAATACCAGTCACTTTCTAGAATGCAAAGAGATTTTTATTGTTTAAAATGAATGATTTATGAGATGGATATTTCTTAAGACAATGGCTTAGGTATCCTCTTTAAAGTTTACGCTTTGTGGGGTAATCATACCCACCTTGGTGTAATGGTTCCTTCCCCATCACAGACTTGACAAATATAATGGGGGTCATCATCACACCTTAGTACACTTGTCCCTTCCTTGTTGCGAAGGTCACAAATGTGCTTGGGGCCTCTTTCGCTATTGTCTTAGGAATATCTAGTGCTCCTTAGAATGAATGTATTTATGCATGCACCAGTACAAAAGGGCGATAGATGTTCAAAGTGGCATAACTTTTGATTGAGATGTCCGATTTGGATGCACATCATATCAAAACAAAGAGAAAAAGGTGAAGAATCAAATTGCAAATCCCCAAGGGGGATTTGGCCCAGTGATTTTCCCAAAAAACGCCTCTAAGACCCATTTTTTAGGGATTTATTAAAATGATGCGTATGTATACTTTCCTTATGCATTTATTTTCTCTCTTGGTTTTTTCCACTTATGACATGATGTGATATGAATGA